TATGTCACCCAGCAGTATTACAGCAGTCCAATATTCACATGCCAGAGTATACAAAAAGATGCTGACCCTGTTCCTGATACAAATAGGAGAGTAACATGCACACATACAAAAATGACAAAGCACCAGGCAGTAGAGTCCTGCCAAAAGGTACAGTAGTGGGAGGCACCTCATACCCGTTTTGAGAAAGGGCAGATGTATTTATTTGTGAGCTGCAATAAGGATGAAGTGCTTCATGGAAAAGGAGACTTTGTGCTGGAACTTGCAAGATTCAAATTAAAACCTGAAGAAGCAATTCAGAAAGAGGAAAAGCCTAGGCAGACTGTGACACTTGGGGATCAACATGAGCCTCTGAACCAAATAAATAGCCTCAGGATACCAGAACTTACTGTGCTTACTGCAAATGAAAAGGGTAAAAATGAGAAAGGAAGAACAGACAGCAGATCTGGGATCAAAGGAATTTGGGGGACACCGAATTAACAAATTTACAAGTTCTCCAAGCTCTCGATAAGCCAATGGGCATGAAGTCCCCCAGGTGAGAGAAGGGAGCTAGTCTTATTTGACCAGATTCCTTTCTTCACTGAACATGAAAATGCCTCAGTAAACACTATCGTTTAACAAAGGCAAAACAATGAAGACCAAATGGGCAGTTTGACCACAATCCTTATAATAAAGCCCAGATTTTCCACAGAGCAAAGGATGACCAGCTAACATTTTTAAGTTTCTCTATTTTTCAGTGAAACTCAAAACCAGATACTGCTGCCACAACATTTCCATCTCATCTACTTATAAGAATTCCCAGCAAAGGTCTGTTCCTATTCTGAGAACACTTATAGTCAGTAGTCCATTCCTAATGACCTGAAGGCTCTGGAAGAAGCATGCCGTCTTAGGAAATTATTGAAAGGCTACTATGAGATTAGGAAACACAAGAGGCTTCCAAGTACAGCATGATAAAGAGTTCTTTAAAAAATTAGCTGGGTACAGTGGCAGATGGAGTGCTTTATGGAAAAGTAGACTTCGAACAGGACCATGCAAGACTCAAAGTAAAACCTGAAAGAGCAATCTATAAAGAGAAGATGCCTGTTTGTTACTGTGGAGGCTGAAGCGGGAGGATCACAATTTCAAGGCCAGCCTGGGTAACTCATTGAGACCCAGTCTCAAAAAAAAAAAAAAATCTAGATATGTAGCTTGTGAGAGTATTGCCTAGCATGTGCGACGTCTTGAGTTCAATCCTCAGCACTACAATCAATCAATCAATCAAAGAACTCTTACAAGAAGTACTGAGCAACTGCTGTAAATCACAGACGCAATGTATGTTGTAAAACTCAGTTCAGGGCACCATAGCCCATATTTAAAGAACACACACACTAGATACATCAATAATGTTTTATAAACCATTTATCTTTATCTGTTACACATACTATATTGACTTGTGTTCTGGACTGTTGTTCAAAATTTATTTCCTACTTGGGTCACAGATAAAATGTTTGCAAGTCACTCCTCTATAAGACAGAGGGCTTGAGCTGGAGGCTGCAGCATTCACTGAGAAGGCCACAGGAACTGTAGCACCAGAAAGAAAAGAAAGCTAAACGGAAGAGAGACTTGAAGAGTATGAATAAGGAAAACCAATGAAAATGCCAAGGTAACCACACATGGGGAAGTGAGTGGCTATAATCATAAATGAGTACACATGAAGGAAAGCTGGTTAAGTGGTACACAAGGGAGGCGGGGAGGTAACATTTGCTCTCAAGAGATAAGAGGCCATCCAGATGGAACCCCAAAAAAAGCTCTCCCACACAACTTTTTAAAAAGATCCATGACATAACTTTAATTTGGTTACTTTTAACAATACTGTATTAATTCTTTCGGTTATACAATGCTTTTAAATTTAAACTCTGTCCTCAACAAGGTGGTTGTGACATTTAAAAGCATATAATCACACTAAAGAACAATACCATGTTAGTTCCTGACTACTACATTATTTACCATCCCAAGAGCTTCATTCTGATTTAGCACTTGGTAGACAAGTCCAGAAGAGCCTGTCACTTGGCTCCTGCACGTGGATGATGATTTCATCAGCACAGAGACACATGAGCTATGTGTGCTCCATGGCACTGGCACCACTAGGACAGCAACATGCCAAAAGGTACCCCAGGCTGCAACACTCTGTGCCTGTCCTGAGGGAAGTTGTACAGTTTGGCTCTAGAGCCCTGCTGATTCACCTAGGGAGTGCGCGAGGGAAATGGCTGAACTCCAAGAAATCACTTTATCCAGGACTGAATTCCCAACATATATCAGAGTACACATAATTAAATGAGACAGAATAGACTTTAAAGGTAAAATGTCATCCTCAACATGCCCGTGATGAAAAGTTTTGCTTTACAGTAGCCATTTTGTGTGTAAATTACATTAATTACCAATATTTAAAAACATCCAACATTTAAAGGTTCTGAATTCTGGTTTATTAGGCAGCAAGGAAATAACAGGTTTAGATTATGCTACAAAAAGAGTCCAACTGCTCATGAACAGCAACTGGCCTTGCTTGGGGGAGGTGGGGGAAATTCTTCAGACTACTGTACAAGGACACAAAGACTTCTCACCCTAAGGAAAGTATTAAAGAGTACAAAGACAAATTTCTTGTAAGAGAAAACAAAAAAATTCACATACTAAAGAACATCTCCATAATAACTATAACACATCCCTTAGGGGATAAGCATGTACTTGTAAGAAGCAAACAAAGCTTTCCATAGAGAAACCACTTTCACGAGATGATTAGGTGGACCTGCAATGAAGAAAATACATTTCAAAAGATGTGTTCAGACTTACACTGATTTTTCACTAAAATACTTTTAAAAATAAAAATTATTCTCTTTTATCAAAAGAAATTTTAAAAAATATACCATGGATAAACCAGTAAATGTCTAAGTTCTATTCAGAGATACACACTTGCAAATAATACAAATCAAAAATAAAACATGTGAGAACAAAAATACTATGGGAATTATTTCAACTAGGACAAGATAAGTTCGCATTCATTCTGTTTTAAGGCATTACATTGAAATGAATCTCATTCTCACTATAATTTTTTTCTTTTTAACCTTAATCACCAGCGGCAGGACAACCAAAATGGACATGAGAACTATATAAATGTCAGAGAAATATGTAAACCTCATTAATGTTTCCAAAAATTCATTTAGAGATAGAAACAGGTCCAAATAGATGCCTGTCTAAATGTACTGCAATTACGTTACAATTATTTTTCCAAATACACAGATATGCTCTGTCTTTTCTCAGCTAATTACTGACTCAAACAATTTGCCCTTCTGGGATCAATTGTTTGCTAATAAATAATTGTTTACAGTCACAAAATGATGTTAGAAGGTTTTCTTATTAGTTTTCCTTCTGCACCCTAATAAGATTGAAAACTAGCTGATTCCCAAGAGTCTAACCTTAACCTCGCTTTGTTTAACAGCCCAGGAAATGATGAACCATCTGCTTCAGAAAATAATGGACGGCCAAGAGGAAATATTGTTTAATTGTATATTAACCTCCTCGTGAGGCAGTCTGAAGCAGCTTTAGAATTGGCAACTAAACCAGGAAAAGAAAAAATGGCTCAAGAGCCTTTTCCTCTACCATTTAAGGTCCAGAAAGAATGCAAAGGGATTTTTATTACCTCTATTTATTTACAAACATTTATTTCCACACCAGAAACAAAAATCAGCAAGGTTAAAACTAACTCTCAAAAGTAGTCACTGCCTCCCAATTTTGTTTGCCTAAATAACTTTAATGTAGCAAATCATCAAACTACGTCATGCACTTAAGTATTGTTTATTTTTAAAAAATCAATAAAAACCTCCTTCCAATATTTTCAAGTTCTTATAACATTAAGATTAATATTTTCCCCAGTTTGTTTGTTAATAGTAATAAATCTACCATTGGGAAATAAGAATTGTTTTAATATCATCAACAAGGCAGTTTAAAGTAAATGAAATCTTGTCAAGTACACGGTGTCCTACAAGTTCAAAAGAAAAAAAAAAAAGAACAGCATGAGATCAAAATGGCCAGCCAGGACAAGAGATCGAAAAGTGACAGATTAAATGCAAACACAGCCTTTTATTCAACAGGCTTCACATGCTAAGAGTTTTCTAAAGTAAATCCTAAAAAAGCATGTATGATACTGAATATTTAATACTCTGCCCACTTCTCAGGGCCTCCACCAATTTAGCAAGGGTATGATACCCATTTTAATTCAGGAATGTAAAGGAATCCTGAAAAATTTGGTAATTCCACAAATATTTATTAAGGACTTCCTTCAATGGCCTGGGGATGGACAAAGGGAACAGACAAACACACTTAAGGGAAGACATTGTACAGTATAAAATGTGCCTAAGTATCAGTTGTCCCAGAGCCCAACAGAGGTAATTAAGTACAAAGTTTTGCTCTGTTGGTACCAAAAAATGCAAATGGTTCCTCTCAGTCAACAGTTACAACCAAGAGCCAAAGACATCCATGCAAATTTGAAAACTAAGGAAATTCACTATTCTAGACAAGGCCACACTATTCTAAGTTTCTAATAAGACCTGAAGGTCATTCACTTTGTGTAAATATTATAGAAACAACCTCTAAAGAAAGGAAAGATTTTTGGCAGTTCAAATTCTTAAATATCTTAAATAGAATTTACTAAATTATTCGTGAATTCCTCAACTTAATTTTGAAGCAATGAGCTAGTAATAACTCCAGAGATTCAAATAATAGAGCCTATTCAAGAAGAATGAGAGTTTGACATTCTTCTCTACAAAACAACTAGGCACAATTTTATCCATCAGACGTCTATCAACCTACGGATATTGAAAGCTTGGGAGAACAAGATAAAATCAACTCCAACCCTACAGTCAGCTGTAATATCGAGCAGGCATCAACAATGCTATTCATGAATTTAGAAAAATTAATAAATCCTGGGTTGAATGCAAGAAAAGGCTCAAATACAGGTGAAGCATACTCACTTGGGTTTTGTTTCTGCATCTGTCACTTGGCGAATGAAGATACCATCTTCAGGATGTTCCGTGTCATCCATTTCATACATATATGATGATGCTATTGCAAGTGTAGTCCCATCATTGCTGAAGGCAAGTGATGCGATGCTGGTGGGGTATCGATGAAACTGACACAGTCGCTTTTTGTTAAATGGATCCCAAATATTTACAAATCCATCAGAACCACCTGCAGTAATTTTAAAATAGTTAAAATGGTTCTTAACATCAGATATAGAAATAATTATTAACAGCTAATTTTTAAGGTCAGAGATATTGCATTTTCCCCAAGAAGTTGTTTTCCCTAATTATCTAAAAAAACAAACAAATTTCTAAAATGATTCTAAGCACCAATGGTGTTCAAATTAACTTTAAAAATTCTCTGGTCTTAATAATTAGATATGGTTAGCAGGCCATAATTTACCTGTGGCAAACGTATTGTGGATATTATGAAAGGAGATAGCGTTGACTGGGTAAATCTGCTCGATATTATTTTCTTTTAGTCTGTGACATTTGAAGGCATACTTCTTCTTCTGCACCTCAGGGCTTGGGTCCAAGTATTCAACTGCCACTCGTCCTTCAATAGAGCTCAGTACATAACCCTGCCAAGAGGGAAGCAGAGGACAAAAATGGTTAAAATTCAGCTTCCAAATATAAGGCACTAGTTCCTGAATTCAATCCACACAAAAAAATCACTTCAGAAATGGAAAGAAATTAGTCACATTTTAACAAAGTGCTTAAACTGTACTGACATAACTGTAGCAACTCTAAAAATTTAGTCACAAGTAACTGTTTATGAGAATCCAGTCTGTCACCTCTTGCTTTCTTCACTAGACCAGAGCTTTAAACATCATAATACAAAATGTCTTATTCTGTCACACTTGAATGAGAATTTTTAAGTGTTAGTATCATTTATTTGTTTCCTGTCCAGAAAGAGACTCAAATTTCTCCCCTCAGTTAAAATGCATTGTTCTATGTTCTAGGCCTCTTCATCTCTAACAACTGTAAGAACTGTTTCCTTTGCTGGGAGCATCAATAAACCAAATCAACCTGAACACCAGTCTTCCATCTCAGTTGTTCCACCTCTCACATTTACTACTAGTCAGGTTTGCACATAACACAGACTTCTAGAAATGATCAAAAGTGGTTTACAATTTCAAACCTTTTCTTGCCTGTAAGTGACAACATGCCTTAAAAAAAAAGTAACAGATAATTTTCTGAATATGAAATCGATATTTTATATCTTTTTTTTAATCCTTCAATATATGAAAGTTATTGCCTAAAAACTGTTCTTGGAAAAAAGTTCAGTAAAACCCTATTTAAACTCCCAATATAAAGTGGAGATAGTCCTACACAAATTTTTTGATACAGATATAACATCTTTACAATGTAACCACATTTTAATTACATATTGTATTTAAATCTCTGGTTTCACATAACTACAATTCCTATCAATAGAAATTTACAAATTCCTGGGCCGGGGATTTAGCTCAGTGGTTCCGCCATTTGCCTTGCAAGCGCAGGGACCTGAGTTCGAGCCCCGATACCAAAAAAAAAAGAAAAACAAATTTACAAATTCCTGAAAAAAACTGTGATAATCATTTGCAGTACTGGCCTTTTGAGATAGAGAGCCAAGAGAATAACTGATGTAACTGCTTCAAATTCCACAATCACTGAAGGACCACCATGCTTTAAAACATACCTGCTGTTTTTAATGACTTTTCCTCTTACAAAATTCCTATTGCAGCTGAACATACCACCAACTCCCCTTTACAACTTGACGGATTAAGAGAATGAGGTAGTTCACTAATAAACTTACTAATCACTTTAAATGATGATGGAAGCAGACCCACCCTACACATCAAGAGTTAGTCCTTAGATGAGCACTGTCTCACTAACCTTGACGGAGTTCGGTTTTTTAACATCAAAGTTCTATTGTCAGATAGAAGAAATGACTCTATTACCATCAGGATTACAAGAAAGAGGAAGAGAACAGCAAATTCCATAAAACTAAATTTCCAGATTTAAGTTTTAATTTACTGGTTTGTAAACAGAAATACCTGCAAAACTCTTTGGTAACTATAAACCTAACAAGCATCATGGACCAGAATCAACAAGAAATCAAGACTATTCAATCCACTGAGTGATCCTGTGAAGATGACTTACCTTCTCTCAACATCAAGCTCTTTTCTAAAATGAGGGTTAATATATGATCTTTTAACAAAGGTTATCAAAATACTAAATGAAACCAAACTTTACAATGAGTTCTAAGTCATTACTCAAAACAAAAACTTTAAAAGCAGTAGCTAAATCATTATTATACAAGATCATATTATTCTCAACTCGCAGAAAATGGAAAAAAGTTTAGGTCCATACCTGCTTGTTTGGAAATGCTCGTATGCAACGAGTCTGGTATTTCAGGCTGGACTCCCTGCGCTGCTGCACATAGCCCATGTTCCGTAAGTCCCACACTAACACTCTGCGGCCTGCTGTACCCACGATCAACCGGTCTCCAGACACTGAGAGTGTGTATACCTTTTAGGAAAGATCAAAACTTGCTAAAAGCCATCTACATTCTGAAAATGGCATTTCACCCCCAAATAAAGTTCATCTAAGCACAAAACCATTAAAAAGTTAGTTTGATCAAGGTTCCCAAATGCAGGTAGGAATTTTAAGAGACTGCAGTTATTCAAACCAAGTAATTTGCAAAAAACAGCAAACCCAGGATATTCTTAATTCTTTACCAAATGTTCTAAAGTACATTCTAATTCTGTAGAAGTGCTTTTGAAAACCTAATTTTTTGGTGTGCTTTTCTTTTGATTATTGTTTTGAAAACATAACCAAAATAAATTAACCAATTTTCCCCAACCTGTTTGTTTCATTTACAGACAATACAAAAGCATGTGGGGGGGGGCTCAAAAATGAGATTAAAAAAAACATAAAATGAAAGATACCTCTCATTAACTTTCTGGCTTTTCATAAAACAACAATTTTCAAAGTTATTTCTCTGACTGTCTTTTGCAACTCTAAAAAGCTTGACTTTTTCCCAGCTGTTAGACTGAATAAATAAGCCTTCCTAGGAAAAATGAGGGAGCCATCATTATCTGTTTTGCTTTTGGTGGCACACAAACTCAAAATATAAAGATAAGAAGTGTTCTTCCTTATGGCAAAGCTAATTCTTATGCCCTTACATCAGACTAAACATTCAAGACACAGAAGTTTGTCTTTAGGGAAAATTTTAAAAAACATTTAGTACCCTAAAAGTACCTATTATTTTCCTCACAGTGCTTTCTGCAACATTAAAATTTCCACAAAATTGTTTTTATAATAAACCTCAGGATTTCCTGCAAGCAAAACACTTAGTTTATTTCTAAGTCCAATGCTACTTGTAGATCAGAAATACCAAATTCGTGAAAAAGGCAACCAAAAAAAGTCCTTGAACATTTAACATGTCATTTAAAAAAATCTATACTTGAGATCCATAATTGATTATTTTCAATTAATAAGCGATTCTAATCTTATTTTCTACCCTGAAGAATTGCTATAAAAAATGCACTGGGGACCGGAATGTTACAGCACTTCACTAGCATGAATAGGCCCTGGCTTTGATCCCCAGTACCACATGAAAAAAAAAGTAAAGAGGCCCCATGATATGTTAACAATCAGTAATTAAACATTATAGCTCATAACCACTAATATGTTAATGATCAACCACCAGGAAAAAAACCAAGTTAGGTTACCAATGACACAGAACAGTCTCTACAATCTGATCTTAAAACTCAACTAATGTGACCAAAGGAAATGTAAGAATTTAAAAGACTGAAAATAAAAGGTTTGGTGTGTGCAAATCTAAATATAAGGGCTATTGCAAAATTTATCATAGTTTATTTAGAAAGCAAAACATTTTTAGAAAAATGAAATTAGTCTAAGATACATGGAGCACCAAACTTAAATACAGAATACAAAAAGAAATCAATTTATAATGGTACAATCATATTGAGAACTTTACCTTAAATCTTTACTATACAGGTGACATACAAGCTTCTAATACTGCTTTCTATCCCCACTGATCATAAATCAAGTGAAACCATTGTCATGCTACTGACTAGGTATATGCATTTATCAAAGAAAGTATTAAAAAAATGGCATAATGAACCTTGCTGAACCAATAAGGAGTTTGATTCAGTGTGGCTGCTCATTATATGATACTCTGTCAGCAATTTATCACAGTTCTTAACATGTTACATACAACCATAAATCAAAACTAGAAACAATGCAATTATTTTATTCTGAACAAAGGTCTCACCAGGAGTAGATGCAACTGCGATATGACAAAAATAATGGCTCTTTGGATGCACCATGTATATAATGATGGCTAGCAGGAATTCAGTAGTATATTTACACTAAAGAAACAGACTCAAGTGAAGGATACCTTTAAACTGCTAAAACAATCCATCTTTCACATTAACTACCACCTGATAGTCTGATAAGGATATAATAAGAATGCTAAATTATACTTTCATAATATAGATCAAAAGGCTAAAATAAATACGCAGTTTCAGTTTTAAAAAGCTCCATTCACTAATGATCTTCAAACTTCTTGTCAGTATTTACAAACAAGGTGTTATCAAAATACTTGATGAATGTTTAAATTTTTAAGAATTTATTTTAGTAAAAGACACTTTGCCATTAATCCCCCACAAAATACTTCCTCTCCTCCACTTTAAAGTTATCCCATTTTCTGCCACTTTCTGAAGCAGTTCTGGAAGCCCTCTTTCTTGTCTTTAGGTAGGATAATGAACAATACAATGAAGGTTGCTGTTGTGCCATCCAATAAAAAAGCAAGCTTGTACAAATGTTATAGTGCGCTCTCATCCACCTTATTCTCAAACAGTATCTGACACTGCGCAACTTCTAGCTCTGCCTCAAAGTCAAAACGACCATGAGAAGTGAATTATTTAGAATCAATTCAGGACATGGAATGCAGCCATGACAGCACAACTAAAGACATTCTCGAAAGAGAACTTCCAGAATTGCTTCAGAAAGTGGCAAGAACAGTTTGAAGCAAGGGGGACTATTTTGAGGAATATTAATGGTAATGTGGCTTTTAATGTAATATTTTTTATTTAAATATTCACTATTTTTTATCATACCTCATACACAAAAGGGGTGAGTGAAAACTACAGTAAACCTTTAAATTAAAAAAAAAAAGTCACAGTAAGATACATTCCCAAGAACAATGGGATGAGGGTTCTGAAGCAGGTGGGAATATTTTAAGGGGGATTAATGTCAGTGTGTCTTTTACTGTAATAAATTTTGGCGGATTTCCCAGAAATAGGGTCTATATAACTCAGGCTGGCCCTCAACTCCCTATGTAGCACAACCTGGTCTCGAAACTTGAAGCCACATTCCTGCCTCAGCCTCCCAAGTTCTGGGATTACAGGCATGCACCACCACACCTGGCTGCAATAATTTAAACATTCACTATGTCCTTCTGGAACACAGGATATCTCTCACTAAATGTGAAATAATAATCCAATTTCATCAATAATCGACTCAAATGAAACCTTGAGGTCACAAATGAAAATGAGTGATGCTCCATCCCATTTTTCTTGTTTGGTCATTTCAAATCCAATTTAAGATAATTGACAAGTTTTGCTAAATGACTTCTCTGAAAAGGTAGTGAGCTGCTACTCAGTCCTAAGATTTAAATCATTAACAATACATAGTTCATTTACACTTGTGCTTTCTAGTACAAGTGTAACAACTGACAGAAAAAAGATGACCAAAATTCCAAAGTTAATTTCCTTTGTATTAAAGCATTTCTACATAGTTGGATTTATAAAACAGACACTATCAACTCTCAATGTCTAAATTAAACAGCATATTTATCAAACACACATCAAGACAAATGATCCCATGGACCGTAATTCTTCTGATATACATTAAAATTCTACCTTTTCAGGCTGAGAGAAGGTCCCAGCATTACAAGGAGTTCTGGGATCCCACAGTTTAACCGTCTGATCCCAACTTCCAGTAACCATCACGTTCACTTCTGGACAGTATTCAACACATCTGATAGGGGCATCGTGGGTTCCAACAAGATTTTCTATAGGAAGAAAAAAAAAAAAGATCTTTCTACTAGATTCCTCAAATGAACAACTAAAGGAAGAATACTCAACTGTAAGATTGTTTCTCAACTCCATGAAACTGTCTGCTGAATCCAGAAAAATCTATGACTACAAAAAGTTATCCATTCTGCTCCATTCACCTTACAATGTATAGTTCCATTTACTAGCATAGCATGTATAAAGAATATCTTGAGGGGCTGGTGATTTAGCTCAGTGGTTCTGGTGCCTGCCTGGTAAGCACAAGGAGCCGAGTTCCATACTCAGTACCACAAAAAAAAAAAAAAAAAAAAAAAAAAGAATATCTTGAATTTCACATCACATTAAAATGGTGGCAGGTTTATTATTTTCCCCAAGTGACTCTAGGCTTCTTACTAGGAACTCCGTACCTCTATGTTCATCTAGTACAGGATCTGTCTGATATATGTTAAGTAAATAAATGAGTGGAAAACTCTACTGTTTTGGACCTTGACAACACTCATCTTTCACATTAAACCAATACTTGCAAGAAATTTATTTATGTGGTTACACAATCATGAAAGCTGAGGATGAAGTCTTACCATCACTTGGTTTTCATGGCAAATTTCCAGGATATAACTTCTTTCCTATCTATTTCAATTTCCGCAATATTTCAGTTATTCATTCAACTAACTACTAAATGTCTACTGTGTGTCAAAATTAACACAACCTGCTAAGAATACAAAAATAAACAGTATGTGGTCCTGATTCTCAACAACATTAGTTTTTAAAAAATCATTTCAAAAAGTACAATGAATTTAATTCATTCCACAATTCTGAGGAAAATTACCACGTTCATGTTCGTGCACAAAAGATGACTGCAATCATGTTCATCACCCCATGCAGAGTTCAAAAACAAAAGCAAAACTGGCCAAACATTTCTGTTTATCAAATTATTCAAAAACAAAAGCATTCTATGAACCAAGGTACTACTGTATCTCATGAGGTTTAGCAATGACCTTCTGAGAAGAAGCAATTAATTCACTTAAGTCAGTCTATTAAAAAATCTTTTAAATTCACTTTTCCTGAGTTTTCAAATAAGTAAAACTTAAACTTAAACCTGCAGGCTAATTTGCTACAAACGGCAAAATATTGACAAAGAAAACCAAACACAAGCATTAAAAATTACGTAAGGACCAGGGATTATTTAGCTCAGTGGTGCCTGGCCTGCCTCCAGGCACAAGGTCCTGAGTTCAATCCCTGTACAGCACCAAAAAAAAAAAAAACACAATTATATAAGAGAGTGACTTTCGGGACTTCAATTTAGTTCAGTGGTTCTGCTACTTCCTCACAAGCACAAGGGCCCAAGTTTGATCCCAGGTACCAAAAAAATAACATAAAACGACTTTCACACAAAAACCTTTTCTGATTAGATGCTTGTTGTTTTGACAAATTACATCCATCCTCCCACCCATCCTCTTGTTATTCAACCTGGCCTCTATACAGTTATATCCCTGTGCCCTGCCAGCTCTTTCAAGCATACTAACATCTAATATGACAAACACTCAGAGAACTTTGAATTTCGGGTCACATTCCAATCTCTATTCTAATTCGGTGTTATAATAAAAACCTGAGTAAGTCATTTCATATCTGAGATTCTAAGAAATTACTTCCTTCCACATACAATTGAACTATATTCTACTGCTACATATACAAGCAAGAAAAATATAAACCGACTTAGCTATTTTATCTTTTTAACATACTTTCCTTTGGTTTAAAATAAATTAGTTTCTGAAAAAGAGAACCCTAAAACACCAGCACTCTCCTGAAAAATCTTAATGAAAGACAGACCACTACAGGATCCAGTCTACTTCTAAGCACAAATTCTCAAGTGTTACTTCATGTAAACACTTAAAAGACAGGGATCATGGGCCAGGGATTTAGCTCAGTGGTTCCACCACCTGCCTCACAAGCACAAGGACCGGAGTTCTATGGCCAGTACCAAAAAAAAAATAAAATAAAATAAAAAAAAATAACCAGTGATCAAAATGGGCTTTACTGCATACTGCATTACTGCAAAAATAATGTGATCAATTAATGATTACCATTTAAACAAAAGAATCCTAAATTTACACCACTTTTACTTCCACCAATGCAACTTAGCCATTAAGTAATTCAGCAACTACTCTTCCTACATAAATGATTATACCTTAGTATAACTTTAATATACCAGTGAAGAAAAACTGGTAAAAAATGTGATGGTATTACCTTGATCCGTGTTCAAATCATGCATTTTCAACTGATGATCTAATCCCCCACTCCACGCATGTGTTGGATCCTATAAATTAAAGTTTTGAACCATTTAAAACTTGCAGAGCTTTAGAGAGCATTTCAAAATTCCTATTTCTCCAGCCAGCTATTAAGGTTACCCTCAGGATGACTGATATACACTGAGCACAGTTATCCATTGTCAACAAATACAAAAACAGTACACAAAAGTAGTCAGCAATTTAGGAAGGCTGTTTTATCCTGAGCCCTCCACGAGTTGAGAGTATATAAACATTCCTTTTAACAAGGCAGCTAGGGCTGGGGATTTAGCTCTGTTGTGCCACCACTTGCCTCCAAAGCACAAAGTACTGAGTTCGATTCCCCGGTATCCCCCCCACCGCCAAAAAAGAAGACAGCTAAAGTAGTCTTGCTGCAAATTTCAAATACAAGTATCACGTCCAGAAAGGTTGTAAGATTTTCAAAGATCAGACAGAGCTTGCATGTCCCCTATGCAAAAAAAACACATAAAATTCACAAAAACCATACCTGGCTCATTGCACGTACAGTATTCCACAACAACTAAGGACCCGTCCAAATAACTCCCCTTACAGAAGCCTTTACCCCGTACTAACAATGCCATGCTACTAATGTGGTGTAGAATAAAACAGTAAGAAGGCAGACGTGTTAACTGAGGCCACCTACATAGAACGCGCAGTCCAGGACCGCGCCAGTGTGCTGGTACTTGAGCCGCATGGAGTTGGCTGGCACATCGTAGAGGCGCACCGACGTGTCCCAGGAGGAGACCAGCAGGAACTGGGAAGTGTTTGGGCTGAACTTCACAGAGGAGATGCCATCCTCGGGTGGCTGGTTCAACTTGAACTCGTTAGAACCCGTCATCTACAGAACACGCGCCGGGTCAGAGTTCCCAAAACCAGAGGTCGGGGGTGGGCTGGGCAAACTGCGGGCCGCAAAGGTGG